AAAAGTATTCAGTCTCAAAACATTTTACCAATTGAAAGTTTATGAAAGAATCATTTTATGGCATTATTTATACAATAAAGACTTATTATTTTACTGTTATCGTTGCTTTATTGTATTTATCCATGCTAGTAATTAGTTTATTACATTTTATGCGTGATTCACCCCCCTAGAATCATTCCACTCAATCAAAATGAATACACTTGGTAACACTTTAGGGACCTGTTCTTACTATTAACTAATTGCTTTAATCATTTGCTGAAATTGTATAAATAGTTTACAATTGCAATTTATTGTAGAAAAATAAAAATGGTGCAATGTCAAATTTTTCCAAAATCATGCAGCTCTAAAAAGCCCCTTCTGTTTATTTAGCAAGCAACTTATGGCTGGGTGTTTTTCCATTGTGGGTGTTTGGAGTTTCTGCATGAGAGCACCCTCTGTGTTTCAGATCACATATTGCTTCCCTGACAAGATGTGCATGACAGTCGCAGCTTTGCTTGATCTCATTTGCGATTTCATTTGGTTTATCACCCAGCCATATTACTCAATACAACATGGATCTTCATCCTGTACCGGTGGGTAATCGAAAAAATTCTACTTCTAACTAATCATTTCCTAAAATTCATCTCACTCAAATATTACCTGGAATAAGGCCAGTATCTCCATTAGTACCAACATATATAAATTCTGGCAGGGGTTTAGCGGACATTTTAAAAGAGAGGGACAGCTGTATGACATGCAAAAGTTTACATTCATATCATTATTAATCACCCTCATATATAATCATGTGCTACACCCCTGAATTCTGGATACTGATCCTCCTCAACACACAGCAAAATATGGGGACCCAAAACAACTCTATGGGTGTTAATTTCAACACTTTGAAAGTGTCTCATGGGGTCCACTCAAAACAGACTTAAATCAACACTTTCAAAAGGGTTGGCACATTGACACCGAAGTAAGGGTTAATTTTAACTCAGGACAGAGTTAAAAAATGTAACTATATTTAACACCACCTGGTGTAATATATTGTTATTTTATTCAACTCTCTTGAGTGTAAATATGGTAAAAAGGTCAAATAGACTGTAAATTACAAAATAAAAAACATTTTATTTGAAAACATTCACAACTTCAACAATTCATTCAGTTTTTAAAATGCAACAATGTCAAATATGCTTTAAATGTTTTATTAGTACAGACAGTATCAACAAAATATGATGTCCAAACTTGATGTTTCATCAGAGCAATTTGAAAGTTCAATATAGCGTCACGCATAGTTTTCTTCTGAATGCATAGTTTTCTTCTGAAATTACATTTTAAACAACTTGGCGTGCAAATCTTTCACTTCTGGTGTTTCCTTGGTCCTCCATGTCAAACACAGCAGTTTAAATGAAGGTATAAATGCTGTAAACTTGTGTGAAAACACACTGGAGCTAGGAAATCTCATCAAGCATGTCCTGTGAATGAAGTGCTTCCCAGCCACAGGATGACCTTTTTATCCATGACGATGTACAGTAGTAGCTGCTGATCGCTCGTCTGGTGGTTCCTGATGCACGGACATAGGGTGATGCTCATCTAAGAACTCTTCAAGACTCCAGCATGACTAAGAAAAATGTTTGAAAACAAATTGCAATCAAATTCTATGATATATTTAAAAGAACATTTAAAGTAAATAAAACATTCAAGAAATCTAAACTCACCTTTTGAAAATCTTCATGATGATCCACAACTTGACTCTCCCAGCTGGTTGAGGTGACAGGATATGGAAAAGTAGAAAAAACACATACATCACTGTTGGATCTCCAAAAACAATTAGGTTAACCACTATGACTAGAACTGGAAAAACAGGCAGCTGTCTGTCCAGAATCCTCAATTTAACACAACACTTGGAGCAAAATTTAGAGGATCTTAAAATCTTTTATATCATTTAGTGATGCTGACTTTCCCAAAATATTGGCCACAGTGTAAAAAATATTCATAAACTTACAGTTTTCTCTAAGCGTGTGCGTGCGTGTGTGTGTGTGTGTGTGTGTGTGCGTGTTTCTTTACCAGATTCAACTTGTTAGGCCCTTTCAGGTCCAGTATTGACGCCACCTTTCCTGGAGTCTAGCAGATGTTTCAGGTCCAAATATAATCTAAAATATTAGGATAAGCAGAAGAGAAAAAGTGCAAAGCAAAGAGCAAAACATTATTTAAGTAACAGTTCACCCACAATACAAAACTTATTACCTTCATGTCATTTGTTATTCTCTAATGCTCTAATACCCTCTCAGCTTATTGTGAAACAAATACAGAACTTTATCAAACATACCTTCATTATTATCACCACATATGACCAAGAAGGTGTGCTTGGTCATTTCACCAACTCTGGAAATGTACCATCCGTCTCTAATCAGCCACCGTCACAGGGTCTTGTGTTTTTGTATAGAGAACTGTGGCTGTTAAAACAACAACACATTAGTATCTAACACATATGCATAACCTTCAGATAAAAAAGAGAGATGAACATCACAAAGTATGCCTCACATTTTCACATATCTTTTGATTCAGATGTTGATTATTGATAATAAATCTACAAATCAAACCTGTATCATCATTAGGCTGCTCAAATATGAATCAGTTGATTAATTTTACAGACAGGTGGCTTTTTACAACGCACTAATAAAACGGTAATGTTGTGTACAGTACATGCTAAGTTTAGCCTATAGTTTTAAGCACAATATCATGCGGGAGAAAAAGCTTGACTAAGATGTTCCTGACAACAGAAATAGCCTAACTTACTAATGTCAGACATCCCGAGTTGGGAAAAGTAATTTTCGGGGGATACAGAGTTGATTTGCGGGAGGTAGCGGGAGAGATGAGTACCTAAAGAGCAATGAGATGAGTTGCGTGCGACATACCTAAAGAGCGGTGGGGGTGACTTGCGCGCGACGTACCTGAAGAGCTGGGAGGGATGCGGTGGAGAGGGGCGTGCAAAGTGTTTAATGACCGGGCGGGAGACGCGCGATTTCCGGGAGATTATCATTCATTTGCGGGCATCTACTTGGGCATCTGGGAGTCTCTGTGCATTTGCGGGATAACGTTAACGTTAGTCCCGCAACTTCCGGGAGACTTCTGTAACGTTAAATGTCTGATAAAGTGCAAACGCGGTCATTTAAAGACATTAATGTTAACATTCCGACTTTAATGGTTGTCAACACTTAATATAATTCAAGCGTACGTTATCACACGAGTCTAAGTTATGGACTAACGGTATATGGACGGCCACGAATGAACCAGTTTAAAAGGGCCGCGGTGTTTAAAATAACCAATTAACGTAACGTTACACGAATAACAAACAATCATTTGTTTCAGTCAGGAAGCCTTTTACAAGTAAGCATATGTTCATTTACTCACCAGATATGTTTTAGAAACTCTCCAGAGCTTATGGAAACCGTCCTGTGTTGCCGTTAGCATCCGGGCAGAGTAGGCTAACGTTAGGCGGCTCCAGGGATTCCCTCGCTAGTTTGCTTGGAATTAAAGGAGAAGTGTCGATTTTATTTTACAAATGGGTAACAACGCACAAAATGGCATTGAGCGTGACAGAAATGTGTTGAACATGTACATTTGATGTTTTTATGCACCATGTATGCGTGAGCATATATAAAAACATTCTTGAAAAGAAGTCAATAGTAATGCAGTTAAGCTAGATACACAAACGACCATGAATGAACCGCAGAAGTTTAAAATTGTCACTCCATTCTAAAGTTATTAACTTAACAACATGTTTACAACTGTATTTCCTTAAAGAAAGTCAGTAAAATACCAACATTTAGGTAGTTTGACTCACCAGTTGCTGTTCTAAACCTCAGATGGAAAATGGCGTCTGGAAAATTCTTCAGTGACTGGGGCTGCATGATTTCCCGGATGTTGGAAATAACACCACCAAGTGTTAAAAAGATAACTCCTTGATTTCGCTCTGAATAAAATCAATTCTAACTCTTATTATATTCATTTATCAAAATCTAACTCTTTAACATCAACACTTTACTCTCAAATGCTTCAACACCGAGAATTTAACTCTGATGAATTTGCTGTGCATGAAGGTGAAACTTTGACTTAATGGGATTTTGGTATGACACCAGATCAGGAACCATAAATAGAATTCTCCTCCTCTAAGTTATTTGTGTGTGAACAAGGAAATATTTGGTTAACATGTTTTGAGTTTTTTAGAGCGTATGCTCTGTTTATGTTTTGTAGGTTTCTGTATACTTGTTGCATTTTAGATTCAAATAATGTAGTAAACAAATATGTATGGATTATTCAGTTTATTTTTGTCATAAAAAAACATAAAAACAACATAAAAACAAAATTACACCTACAATTATTCTAACAATAAAAGACTAACAAATTCAAAATCCACAATTGCCCTAAAAAGCATTGCCAGATAAATGTGTACAAAAACAATCCAATACCACAACAAAACCAACACTGTCTCCCAACTTACTTGATGCGCTTTGCAATTTTTATTTTCATTTCTTGTTTCATAAATCCTTTAAAGTTGTTTTTGTGATTGTCTTTTGATGATTTATTCATTCATTCATTTTCTTGTCGGCTTAGTCCCTTTATTAATCCGGGGTCACCACAGCGGAATGAACCGCCAACTTACCCAGCAAGTTTTTACGCAGCGGATGCCCTTTCAGCTGTAACCCATCTCTGGGAAACATCCACACACACATTCACACACACACACACACTCATACACTACGGACAATTTAGCCTACCCAATTCACCTGTACTGCATGTCTTTGGACTGTGGGGGAAACCGGAGCACCCGGAGGAAACCCACACGAAGGCAGAGAGAACATGCAAACTCCACACAGGAACGCCAACTGAGCCGAGGTTCGAACCAGCGACCCAGCAACCTTCTTGCTGTGAGGGTCATTGACACTCCCTACTGCGCCACTGCCTCGCCCTGTCTTTTGATCATCCAAAATTAAAGATATAAACAAGCATAATAAAGATTATTCATTTTTCAAATGAAACCATCTGGAATAGTTTTTGGCAACTGTGTAAGCCACAATACCTCCCTGTAGTCCACTCAAGAGTGGAGCAAACAACCCTGTTGGACCCACACAATACCGACTAATTATCCCAGCAGCACAACCACAAGTGATTGCCACTGGTTTAACATTTTTCACAAGCTTTCTTAAATTACTCACAATCTTCCAGCTTTGTTTTTTCCATATTTTTGCCAAAATGTATCCTGACATACCACCTAATGCTGCTTCCAAGACATTCAAAAAACAACCATACCCTAATGTTTTATAAAAAGAACCTTCATTCTTCATGCTAGCACAATCCACTGCTAACACAAAAAAACTTAAAGCATACAGAAATTTTAGTTTCATCAGTCTCTGCCAAAATAATTTGCGCAACTGAGCCTCAAACATCTGTAAACTGTAGCAGTCCTCATTTTTAGATACCTTTTGTTTGATCATTGCCAGGAGTTTGGTGACCTGATCTTTATTGTTCATATCTGTGTTGTTTAGCAGGTGAAATCTCCCCTCACACTCCTCTATTAGTTTGGACAGCTCTGGGTTTTCTCTGATCAGCTCACCAAGAGATTTATCTTGAAGCTCCTCTCCATGTGTGAACAGGACTAATGTGTGTTTCATTGCACTCTCGCCAAACATCTGCTTGAACAATAGCACGGTTTCTACATATTGCTGGCTATCTATACGGAGAACTAGAATGAGCATGTGGAATCCTGAAGGGAATTTTTTTAATATTGTCTTTAATTCTCCAGTCAAATCAACGCCTTTTGTATTGAAGAAGTTTGGAGTGTCAATTACTGTAACTTTTCTATTTGAAACTGTACGTGTTTGATCTTCACATCTTTCAGTGATGGAGGTTGGGCTTTTTTTAGATTGAAACACATTTTCACCCAGGATTGTGTTTCCAGAACTGCTCACTCCAGAACCAGTTTGTCCAATAAGCAGAAGAAGAAAGGCAAAACTGCTTGATGGTTGATTGACTATGTGCTCCATCACTGAAAAGCAGAAAAAAAAGTGTCAATTTAGTTCCAGCCCTAATCTTATTATTATTATTGTTATAATAAAAAGTTATTGGCAAGGTACATTGAACCTTATAATTCCAATGTGACATATATATATATATATATATATATATATATATATATATATATATATATATATATATATATATAATGTCTATATATTTGTCACCTTGGAATTATAAGGTTCTCTCTGCGTTCTTAATGTTTTTGAGATATTGAGCTTTAAAGTTTTTGCATTTCATATAGCGAACAATATGTGTGTCACATTTGTTTTTTAAATAAAAAGTCTTAAAATGTAAACAACTTTAAAAAAAAAACATCCCATAATGTAAATAAGTTGTCATTTAATACAAATATGCCATTAACACAATTTTGACAAAGTTGTGCGGATAAAACCTTATAATTCTAAGGTGACAATATATATATATACACACACACACACACACACACACACACACACACACACACACACTCTGTAAAACCCATAAAGTCAAGGTAACTCATACCATTTGAGAAAACCAATTGCTACAAACCATTTGGGTAAAAAATAAAATAAAATAAAAAATTTTTTGAAGTAATTTTATTAACTCATTAACTTCAACACAGTTCTTTGAACTCTTTTCAAATGAGTAGAATTAACTTTCCGGCAATTTTGAGTTAACTACTCTCATTTCATAAAGTTGAATGTTGGATTTTACAGTGTGTGCACACACACACACACATATATATATATATATGTGTGTGTGTGTGTGTGTGTGTGTGTGTGTGTGTGTGTGTGTTTGTGCGTGCGTGTGTGTGTGTGTGTGTGTATATAAAATGCAATAGTCATCGCCACAATTTATGAAAAAAATATTTTAAGAAATTTGTCAAATGTTCATCTCAATAAACATTATTTCAAAAATAATAATAAAAAAAACTTGTCTTGTTACTTGTTTCATTGCTGCTTCCATGCATCACGTCATTAAAGATCACAGGGCTACACAAATAATTACTTCATTGCAGATTTTACGTTCAAGAAAAATATAAATGACTACTGATTCAGTCCAGGACCACTTTTCTTTTAGAAATAATGTGAATTTATTTTTCATTTTCCTGAGTGTTTACGCTGTTTAGTATTATTATCCTGTCAGTCAAAGCAAAGAGGAAGCTCGTGTTTCCAAAACTGGCAATTTATTCATTACAGCATAATCAGTAGTTGTAAGTTGTAAGCACAAGTAGCCATACAATTGCAAATCATAGGGTTTCTTCTTCATACAGTGATTATAATTCACATTAAATTGCAAACCGGAGTTATGTCATACAATAGCTGAAGTTCAAAATTGTTCATGTTAGTTGGTATATTGAAAACATGGTTATTGAGCGATGCAATCATCTTCTGATTCAGTTAAACTCTGACTGCGTTCATGTATTTCTTGCAGATTCAATGCTTCAAATTCATTGCCCCATTTTCAAACCAGTCAGACATGATCACTCACTCACTGAAGCTATTCTAAGGGCTGAGCCTGGTCAGTACCTGGATGGGAGACCACATGGGAACACTAGGTTGCTGTTGGCAGTGGTGTTAGTGAGGCCAGCAGGGGGCGCTCAACCTGTGGTCTGTGTGAGTTTTAATGCCCAAGCACTGCTGTCCTATGACTTCTTCATCATCCAGGTGGATGCTGAATTGGTGGTGTTGTGGAGAGAACCATTTACAGAATTGAACAGCTCTTTGGGAGTATGGCAATACACAATAAATGTGCAATACTTACTTTTTATTACAGTGTAATAATAAATTTTATCTTCAACCATTGTTAGATTGCTTTAATGAATGGGAAAAAATTGTGTTGGTTACTCACCCCATACAACATTGTGCCAGTAATCTGGCCATTCTATTTGAATGTTTAAACATAATTCAGCTGTTGTCAAGTCAAGTTTTTACCAACTTGTTATGTGTAAAATTTTGGAACCACTACAAACACTTTTGTAATATTTTGGCTTATTTATTGTATTTTACTGTGTAATGCAATTACTCAGGTTTCCATTTTTAATGTTCATTTGGTGGTTTCACAATATAGCTTCTATTACAAGATGCACCATCAATGGAACTTTAACTGTATTCCACTCATGTATTTATTGCATAATTTTTAAATGCAGCAAAATAAACAAAAATACAAGATATTCAAATAAATTACAAATACATTTTATTATTTGTATGTTTTTTTTCCACACAGAAATGAAATACAACACAATCTACAGTTCAGATATTACACTTGAATTTTTAGTTTTTGAGACATTTTTTTTTATATAAAAGCAGATTAATTACATTATTGCTGTGATCAGCTTATGTGCACATATGAAATTATGAATGAATGACAAATGAATGTGCGCATATTAAAAAATCTAGGCTACTGTATATCAAAGCGTCATTCTCAGAGAGCTAAAAGGATAAAAATATTAAAAATAAACGAAATCAATGCACTTGTTCTTTATAACGTGTGTTGCATCAAACAACTTTAACTTTAAGTTGTTAAGCAGCGAGCAGATAAACACCATAAGGGCACGTTGTTACTGCAGAACATAAACTCAGTTACTGCGTCACAGTTGATTTGCCATCAAATGCCGACATGCCAGCCACAACTTCATTTACTGACAGAAAATTAAGTTTTTACTGGCTGCCACTCTGGGACATGATGGTTTAGATCTTTGTGTACTTTTCTTGTGCTCAGTTACGGCAGAGGTTTTTTTTTTTTTTTTTTTTTTTTTTTACAGCAGAGGTGGTTCCTTTTTGTCTGACATTAGAACCGAGCTATTTGGTGTCTTTTTGCCACTCCCTACAATTATTTATTTATTTATTTATTCCTTTTATGCGAGTTTGACTTGACAATAGAATAACATAACAAAGTGTTTACAATTGTTAAAACACAAAACAACATTTTATTATTTATTATTTTATTAGTAAAAAATACATTTTGTCCTTATTTAAAAAATAATAAGCATTTGCCTATACAGGTAATTACTACTGAAATTACAGTCTGTAAAAGTATTAATTTCTACAAACATTAAGCCTTACCGTTTTGGATATCTGTCTCAGTTGTTGACGATAGAAGTGAAATTGTGATCATAGTACATTCTGAAAGCACATTTATAAATATAGATATATATATAAAAGTCTTCTGTACTTTCTCTACGCCCCACTTATAAGCTCCACCTCACATTACTTTTCTGTAGGTGTTGTTTAAAAAGTAGTTTTTTTTTTTTTCATAAAATCATGGTATGACTGTTGCAAATTGTTTTATTGTCTAGGGGGCCACTACAAATAACAATTTTGTGATCCCATGGTAAAAAAGATTTTGAAAAAAAAAAAAAGATTTGCAACAAAACAAAACCAAGCTTTATCTTTGAACACCATCAAATTTTTAAAAGTGTTTTGGATTAAGATGATGCCAGTAGCCAGGTCCAAGTCACCTTAATTGCTAAAACATTAGGTACTGAATATAATAGTGTTTAATTTATCACTTTAAAATGGTTGTCAGTTTAAAGCTATTTAAATTCATGCACTGTTGCTAGGATACTATGTTTGTACTTGTGGTAGAAAACAGCCACAAATCAACCAAAGATTGTTTTAAGCATGTTTTAGTGGCAGAAGAGTAATCTCTCAGCATTATTGTAATGCATTTTTATGGTGACAGATAAGATACTTTACAGGTGGTGATTATGAGAAGAGGATTCTCTTACAAGCAAAACTCAGAGCCAAGCCCTGGAATGGCATCTGCCCTATTGTTTCATAATCACTGAAACCATCATCTTAAACATACTTCAAATGCCATTCAGTCAAGAGATTTGAATGCTCACTGTGTCTGGTAACCATGAATTGTTTGTCACAAATTCTTACAAGTCTCAGTGCACCTTTTATTGTTTAATTTTCTATTTATCTATCTATTTTATTTTTTCATGCTATTTTATATCTCATGATTATAGTGGGGCGATGAACTGATGCAGTAGGTAGTGCTGTTGCCTCATAGCAAGAAGGTCCCTGCCTCGGGTGGGTCACTTGGCGTTTGCACATTCTCTCTGTGTTCGCCTGGGTTTCCTCGGGTGCTACAGTTTCCCCCACAGTCCAAAACCATGCGGTACGAGTGTGTGTGGGTGTTTCCCAGTGATGAGCTGCAGCTGGAAGGGCATCCACTGCGTGAAAACATATGCTGGATAAGTTGGCAGTTCATTTTGCTGTGGCGACCCCGGATTAAAAAAGGGACTAAGCTGAAAAGAAAATGAATGAATGATTTTGGAGTTTGTTTTACTGAATGGTTATCCTGTCAGCATTAACTTTACCATGCTCTATCTGTGGAGCTTTTTAATTGTGCTTGGTTGAACTGTTTGAAATGGAATACATGGCCAATCACTCAAAAATATGTTCATGAAAATGATATTAAGATACTACTAACCATTGTAATCTTTCTCTTTAAGTATTAATATAGTTTTTTTTAAGAAAATTTGAACATGTATGTATGCATGCTAATTATGTAATGTTCATTTAATTCCATCTAAAAAATAATCCAAATAATTAAATGTCTGAATAATGCACAACACATTCTGGCAAAAATGTAATCAAACAATTTGTTTATAGAATTAGCTAAAATTAGACCAAAAACAAAAAACAAAAACAACAACTTCATGTGTCATGTGACTTCAAGGAATTCAGGTAGGCTCTCTGTTTATTCTTGTCCATATAAAGACTACCAGGGAGGAGAGTGCTAAATTGAAACGCTCAGAGACACAAACACACACACACTCAGGTTTGTCTTCTTTTCTTTTGTATTATGAATATTTGTTATCCTAAAAAAATATATGAAAAAAACAAAGAAAATGTTTTGTTGTTTTATGAATTTACCACAGGACATAAATCAATGTTGTATTTTCTCACTCCCCAGCCTTAAACTAAATACATTAATTAGCATTAATTTTACTTTATGTAAAAGTGTGACCATTATT